GTGGGAGAGAGCGCTGTACATTCACTCCCCCCACCTACAATCCCTGCCGGTACGAGACTCGAACCCGCAACCTTTGGGTTACGGTCCGACTCTCCAACCATTAGGCCACGACATGCCCCTATACAAATGCGTGTAAAGGTTTACATGGTGCAGTGAGCACCAATCTTTATGTTGGTTTTTCTTATGGTTTTTTACCATAAAGAAATGGAGTTTTACCCACTAAGACGTTTACATGTTGTCAGGTTATTAAGGATAATTAGTGTATGATTGTACATGTAAACACACTCAAGTTTTTCCTCATAGACTGTGATTTTGAAAACCTAATAAATTAGCAATAAAATAATAAAAAGCTTCAGTTAGACTGTATTTTAGACTCTATTTTCTGTTATATTTGTTTAATTATTTTACTATAAAGTTAGTAAATCATTACTGTTTTCCTTCACTGTGTGTGTGTGTAAAGATGTAGCATTGGAATGTGCCGGCTTCCTTACAGGCGTTGGACTGGACACCACTGTGATGGTGCGCAGTATCGCCCTCCGGGGGTTTGATCAGGTACTGCATCTCTGTTTTGGTCCCTTGACAACATCAATCTTTATGTTGGTTTTTCTTATGGTTTTTGACTGAGTTTTACCCACTAAGACGTTTACATGTTGTCAGGTTATTAAGGATAATTAGTGTATGATTGTACATGTAAACACACTCAAGTTTTTCCTCATAGACTGTGATTTTGAAAACCTAATAAATTAGCAATAAAATAATAAAAAGCTTCAGTTAGACTGTATTTTAGACTCTATTTTCTGTTATATTTGTTTAATTATTTTACTATAAAGTTAGTAAATCATTACTGTTTTCCTTCACTGTGTGTGTGTGTAAAGATGTAGCATTGGAATGTGCCGGCTTCCTTACAGGCGTTGGACTGGACACCACTGTGATGGTGCGCAGTATCGCCCTCCGGGGGTTTGATCAGGTACTGCATCTCTGTTTTGGTCCCTTGACAACATGTCCTCTCTGATGCATTTAGAAACAACAACAACAACAAAAATCTCTCCTCTTTTTTTTATTAGCCTGATTTAATTTGTTTTTGAGTTGTGAAATATACTTATAAGAATAGTTATTATCGGTCTCAATAACATTGCTTTTGGTTTGGGCATTCTTTAATGTGACTCACCCTGGTAGAACCGCCAGGCTGTATGGCAAAAACAGGATGAGAGACCTGGCCAGACTTGTTTTATGACCCTGTTTTTTAAGCATTCATCTTTAATTAATGGTTATAGTGTTCTGACAGGAGATTTGTCATGTTGTTATTAAGCATTACACCCGCAGTATGGTCTGAAAGTAGTAACAGAATGACAACAAAGAGTAAATTGCTCCGTTGAAGTAAAATCTGTGTTTAAGAAAACAAATGATAAGGAAAAGTTCTTAAATATATTTTGAAAGCATCATTTTATTTGTACAGTTACTCTTGTAGATCAGATCTGTTCTCCTTCAGTTAAAATGCTATGCATGCATATTATTATATATTTGGAGAAATATCTATTATTATTATTAGGGGTTATAGGGTTCTTATTTGATGTGTCCATATGATGCTTTAAAGTATTTTCTTTTATATTTTTATGTTAGTTACTAATAAGCAATTTATATGATTTTTATTGTGAGATGTTTAAAAATTTATTATTTGTTATTTCCTCTTGTTTATTGATTTGAAGGCAAATGACAGTGTTTTGTTTGTGTCCAGCATTTACAGAGAATGATGTCTCTGAGATTAAGATCTAAAATAATTTTTCTGAAACTATTTAGCTTGTATGACTCTAAAGAATAGAGATAGTTAATGTTTTATTTTTTCTGCTTATCTCTCAGCAAATGTCTGGTTTAGTCACAGACTACATGGAGGCCTATGGCACCAAGTTCTCCTGGAAGTGTACACCAAAAAGCATAGAAAAGCTCCCATCTGGGCTTCTTCAGGTCACATGGATGGATCTAAACACTAAAGAGGAACATCAAGACACCTTCAACTCAGTACTTTGGGCTGTAGGTGAGGTCTTAATGCATCTCAAATACACATTCAGCGTGATTTAATTTATTAGGCACTTTTCTTTTAGAAGAGTTCCACAGAATGACATTTTAGCTAATTTTAGCTAATACACTTTTTTAATTTAAAAGTTAAAATAATTTTTTTAAATGTATTATTTATTTATTTTTATATTTTTTTTGCTTATATGGTATTACTGTGGCCTAACTGTTGCTAGGTTAGAAATTCATAACTCATCCACAGTCTCTTTTTTTTTTTTCTCACATAATAAAATACCTCACTCAGTTACAAATCAGTATTGTCCATTTATCTATTTATTTTCTAAGGAGCCATGTAATAAGCAGAATACTGTAGACCAGTCATTTTTTTAAAGTAAATCTTTTGAAAAAAAAAAAAAACTTCCATTTCTTTGATCAAACTGTCAGGGTTTATTTAGCGATTAATGACTGTCTCACTGTACTTTGTCTCTTACTGCTCTAACAGAGATTAATGCTGCAGGAAAACATGTTGTACAGTTGAGTCATCCGCTGTGATCAGTTATGCTTTCATCGCATTTCAAAAGCATAAATCCTCAAAATACATATATCTGTTTGTGCTTATATTGTCCTATTCCACAGTGCTGCCTTATCAGCAAAAACTAGACTATCAGCCTGAAAACAGGGTAATAAAGAGAGAGGGATGGAATCATCTAGGGAAGAGTTAATCACTGAACTGAGGTCTGCTCTTCAGGACCAGGATGCACCAGGGGCCCTGGGGTCGCCCCATTCCCTGCTTTGTTCTCTCGCTCTGGGTTTTCCTGCCAGAGTTGTGTGTCTCTCTGTACGGAAACCCACCCAGAGCTTCCACGGTTTTTCCCTTTTCTCGTCCCTCAGCATCTCTATCCACAGATGCCATCCTCTTTTCTGTGTTTCTGTCTTTCACTCGTCTGATTTCTCTCATTCCGGTTACAGGGACAATGAGAGGAATATAGGAATATCCGGCTGGCTGGTGCTGGTTGATTTATTGCTGGTGTGAGAAGAGGGTGTGGAGCAGTGCTGCTTTGAGTGTGTACAGTGAGGATGAGAATTCAGCTTCCTGTCTGGATGTGTGTGTGACATGGAGAGAGAGATTTAGTTATCTGTATTGACTCCTATTGCAATGCATGGCAGCATTGGCTTTGGGTGTTTGATGAGTTAAGTGGTTTTCTCAGGCCTTTTTGTTCCTGAGATTTCGGTCCAGACTTGTTTGCGGTCGAGGGATTATAGTGCTCTCAGGTTTGCAGTCCTGACAGTGCGTTTTGACTTTTACCACAGATATGTGTATTTAGTCATATTAAGGTATGAACTTGAGTGCATAAAAACCTAGTGCGTAAAATGTAGTGGTCAACTGATATCTAAAAAACAAGGGTGACACATGGCCAATACAGGTGATACTGGACTGAATAACTACGTCTCTGGTTTACCCATGCAATGGTCAATAAATATTACATTTATTAATTGCAATAATGTACAAATGTGAACAGTTCTACCATCAAGTACTATCAGATTTACTACTGTGCTTTCATTAGCCTAACTGTAGGTGGTTCATGGATGCCAAGCAAATTTGTTTTATAGTCAAATAGTGTTAGTATTGGCTGTTGTCATAGTGGAAAGAGCTTTCAGAGGCTGATATCCTCTATCAGACCCCTGAGAGGATGCTGCGTTTCCCTGCTGTGGTCTGTCTGTTTCTCCGTCCTGCTCTCTTTCTCACAGTGAAAGCATAAAAATTGGCATTTTTTTTTATCTCCCTCATGACAACTCATAGAGCAGCCCCATCCCTGCTCTTGTCTTTTACCCCCAGCGGAGCTCTTCCACCCTTCCGCACCTCCATCCTTCCTCTGGACTGCACCCTTCTGCAGGTGGCTGCGCTAAACGCCAGGAAAGAGAACATTTCCTCCATGCTGTACTGTAGGTTTACCGCTTTTATGAGGATTGAAGAAGGGAAGTAATATACTTAACATAAATAGGCTTTCCGATTGGTTCACAATTGTGTCCATCTCATGTATTTTGATTAATTCTCACTTTATTTTTATACCCTTACAAAAAATTACAATGATTTCTAAAGTAAAACCATGATAATTTAAGTAAAAATGTAATAGTTACTGCAGTTACTATTGTAAAACTTGTTAACAGGCTGTTATTGTCCTGAAAAAATAGAAATAAATGTGACGTGTAATATTTGGATCTTAAAATTAGTGTTAGACTCTTCTATGTTGGTCAATATATTGCCATTTTTAGATTATCTGTGAATAACAGCACAGATTATGTCATTTGCACAATATCATCATTGGACTGTTATTTTTATTCATTTATTTGTTTTTTATTTATTTATTTATTTTTTGTCAATTTTCAGTTGCCACCATTAAAATTTATTATGTATATATTGGCATTACAGAGCTTGGAGAGGGACATTCTTCTTTTTGCCTGACCACTGGTAGAGGAAACCTGTTTGAAAACAACCATTATTTTTTTACAGCTTTGTTTTTGTCTAATTTCAAAGAAATTACACATTTCATCTTTAAAGAAAATTAAAATACAATTTAAAGTTTCTTAATATTTATTATTTTTAATCCATTTATTGCAGTTAGTAATCATAACTTTGGACTATGTGTTTTGGAGGAAACTGTAATCATTTTATAATATTATCTTTTATGTCTAGGCTAAGCCATTCTTTCAGTTTAATTCATTTAAGGGCATATGTTTTAGTCGCATTATATTTGCCAGGAGCTGTTCTTCCGCTACTGTGCAGTAAAATTTAATTAAATCACTGTGGAGAATTACAGATCTCACACTGATTTCATGTGTGACTGGAATGTAAGGCAGCTTAATCCTCTCTTATTGTTTCATCTATTTTGCTCTCCAGCCTGTTGAGTCGATAAGGCTCATTTAAAGTCCTTCCAGGCAGATTGTTGTGGCTAATTAACATGTTGGCCTTGAGATTTCTGTCTTGTGTAACTCCAGGCTTTGTTCTTGTGCATTATCAGAGTCAGCTGTCAGCTGAGAGAGAGAGAGAGCGAGAGAGAGAGAGAGTGAGGAGGTGTGGGTTTGAATTCTCAGGCATAGTCCTTATCAGTGGTCCTGTGTTGTTGTGTCCAGCCTTCACAATGCCCAGCGAAGTTCCAGGAGTCCAAATCAGACAGAAAAAGAGACAGGAAGTGCAGTGCAGGAATTGCCCGCTCCAGTTTGACGCAGATACTGGTACTTTTCCCGCTTTACTGTAATCATCGTTTCAGGTCCTTTTTTCAGATGAACCAATAAAATGTGCATTCTCACTATTATCGGGCTGGCTTTGCCCACACAAAGTCAAGGACGTTTTTTTCCACGGCCAGTGAAGGATATCTTGGGGGTTTTGTTGCTGATGGAATGTGGTGTAAAACAAAGGATGTCTTTCATGTAAATTGCACTGGCAGAGCTTGTAGTTTGTGGACGTGTGGCAGCAACATCCTTTAAGACAGCCATAGAAATAAGTGTAAAATCTAGTCAGTATTATTTTATTGCCAAAATAAAATCATACAACACCATTACTATGAGTGATTTATACTGCATTTTATTTTACCTTGTAGTTTTGTACCCCCCCCATATCTTGAAATTTAGGGCATACCTGCATTTATGGAGTTGTTGCCCTGCATCATATTTGTCAATAGTAAACTGTATGAAATGTAAGATGACGTACAGGTCTGGGGCGGGGCCAGTGCGTTAACTGCGTTAAAATATATTTTTTTATTTTTAACCTGTTAGGAAACCTGTTAGTTTTTGCAGTTCTGTTTGGTGCCATTATTGGCACACAGATTTTTTTTTGAAAATGCAGCTTAGTGTTTTTAATTTATGTGATGTCTTTCATTTAATGTGTTGAATCTAATTTTATTGCGTTTTTACATTGTACTTTGTATACAACAAATTAGTCATAAGCACCATTTTACTTAGCCAATAAATGGCAGCTTCAAACTTCAGTTTCAAGACCTGAAATCGCGTTATTTTTTCATTATGGGCAGTAAACTAAGAACTCTATTATTAATACTATATATAGTTTAAAAAAAAGAGGCAGATCAGAAAGGCTGAACAAAAATGTATTTGATTGATATTTTGTGCATTTGTTTTTACACATTGTCTCTCTATAGCATTTCAGCATCTCTACCTCTTTCTCGGAGTAATCGATGAATACATACTCAAGTCGTATCTGTGGCTCAGGTCTCACTGTAGTGGAGAAGAAGGAAGTTGTTTCTGAGCTTGAGGCAGGAAAAGGGGCTTAAGGTTTGTTGTTCTTGCTGGCTGATAGCATCTACATTGGTACCTCTGGCTTCTGCTGCAAGCATTGTTTATTGTGATACCTATGAAGGCATTGGGACATGAGTCTTGTGTGTGTGCGTGTCTAAGACGTCGTAAATGGGGGAAGGGGGATGTAGATGGACAAGTGTCGACAGCCTCTCTCAGCCCTCGGATAGGAAGTGACAGAAATGACACTGCAGGCCCCAGGTGGCTGATGGGATATGCATCCAGGTCTCCTCATTACGCTGTCTGTCAGACCACCACACAGAAACCTTCTACCCCAGCTGTGCTTGTGTTTTCTTTTCTAATCACTGGATAAGATTTTACCCTTTAATCTGAGCGTAAAGCCACCTCTAAATTCTCCCAGCAGGCCGAGCGGTTAACTCCAACCTCAAGCCTCCAAAAGTTGTCCGAAATGTCGCTCTACCTGTCATTACTCTCTTCTCTTTGACCTTAGGCAGAGCATCTGAAACCAAGACCCTCAATTTGGAGAAGGCTGGTGTGGAGATCAACATAGAAACAGGGAAGATAATCGTAGCTGCTGACGAAGCCACATCCGTGCCGAACATTTTCGCTATCGGAGACATCGCTGAGGTAGGCGTTATGGATGAATGCCATCAAAAACGCACTAACATGGTAATCGAACTCAACTGAGAAGACACAGCTTGAAAGCAACAGCATATTCTTGTCTGTCAGTTCAGTCGCTCTTCTGGAAGGTCGTTGCCCTGTAACATCTCAAGACACAACTGGCTGCCGGGATCAAATATCGCAGCTGCCTGTCATCTGCAGCAGCTGTGTGATTATTGGCACACACACACACACACCACCACAAAACTAGTCAGAAGAAGCGCCTTTTACTCTTTACGTCCCTTTCAAAGTGCATCGCTTCTCATTTTTTAATGAAAGAAAACAAGATGTTGAGCCGCACCTGGTTACTGCCAAGAAATGCATTTACTATACAGCTGCCTGGGCGGTGTCCACACACACACACACACACTATGAGCCAAACACCCGAGGCGGTTTCTTGGACAGCAGGATGTACAGAAGTTATCAGACTGGTTGCTGATGCCATTAGTCAGTGAATGAGAATTCGCCCCATGGTGCTGCATGTTCCTGTAGGCATGTTTTTCACAGCACTGATTGGCAGCCGTCCACTTCTGCGCTGTAATCATCATCGTGACTGACAGCCGTGTAATGTTGAGATGATACTAATCTCTGAAATGTCTGATCAGGCTAATCGCACATAGATTTACACTTAACTACACAGCGTTTAAACATAATGCAGAGGAAATAATTGTTTAGAACTTTTCCGTTGTATTGTTGAGCACTACCTGACCTGCCCAGAACTTTTAGACTGGATTTGCTTTTGAATGTATCCGTGCATGTGTGTCAGTGTTATTTTAGTATTATTTATGCAGTTTACTATTATAGTATTAATTAATATTTTGAATTGTCTTTTATTATAATAGTTTCATGAAAATTTTTGTTTAGGTTTTAGTTTTTTTTTGTTTTTTTTCACTGATGTGTGTGTGTGCCCACTCCTTCTCTGTTTCAGGGTCGTCCTGAGTTGACCCCGACAGCCATTAAGGCTGGAAAGCTCCTGGCCCGCAGACTGGTGGGCCATTCCACTGAGCTCATGAATTATGACAACGTGAGTTTGCCGTTACATGCATATGCTTTCATTCTTGTTCGCTCTTTGTTTCTTTACTGGTTTCTAAGCGAATCACACAACGCCTATATTTAGGGTGGCCATATGTGCCGTTCATACGGGACACGTCCTGGCCAGGATTTTTATATTGCCTAAAACATCCAAAGTAGTTTGACCAATAACATGCATGTATTGTATATAATCGACCAATCGTGGCGCGTTAGAAGGTGAGATCTACAGAGAATGATCAAAGCGATGCAAATAAGCGCACGTGTTTGTTCATTCGTTCAACTTGAAGTGTGGCTGCGCACTGATCATTGAATGACACCGAAGTACCTCGAGAGCGATTCAAAAGCGTAAGGAGCCATCTGATCTGCTCTCTAGCTCTCGTGAATGTCATACAATGATCGATCTGCACAGTGCAAACAGCCAAAACTTGGATATTTTAGGCAATATAGAAATCCTGGCAAGGACGCGTCCCGTAAAAATGGCCCGTATGGTCACCCTACCTACGTATATTTCACCTCAAAATCAAAAGGAACAAATAAGAAATGATCTTTTACATAAAGAAAGTGAGACTAATTTTTTTAACCCTTAAGATTATTTGTATTGTGATTTTCAGGACAATTAAAACATTTACTGTACAGTACGGTAAAACATTACTGTAATGACTAGAAATCTTTTAATGCACAAAAGGCAACCATTAAATATTATTTAAATGGTAAAATTATAAATCACAGTATTATTTGATGTACTACCTGTACTTAATTATTTTACCTTTCTATAAAACATTTACATTAGTATTTTACATATTTGTATATATGCATAATTACAAATTTTTCAAAATTTTATTAAATATATTTAATACAATTACTAAAAAAAATACAAATAATGATTTATGCTTTAATTTAAAAATATTCTTGTTACAGTATTTTTTTGATAATGCAATCATAATCTTTGAGGATAACAGGAATTACAAAAAAACTGGAAAAAATTACTGTAATGAGACTTAACTGTGAGAATACTGTCATGAAAATGATGTCTTAGTGCAACAAAAATTATTTTGATTTATGTATATGAAAAATATATTTGAAATGTCCCATTTTGTGAGATTTACTTTTCTAGTGGTTCTCTTGTTTTGTTTTGTATAAAAAAATAATAATTATATGAATCTTCACCACTCCAAGTTTTTTGTGTGCTGATTAGTTCACTTGAGTCTTTTGCATAGTGTGTGTGTTTTATATGGTTGTGTGTGTGTGTGCATGTGTGTGTATAGGTGGCCACTACAGTGTTCACTCCACTTGAGTATGGCTGTGTAGGTCTGTCTGAAGAAGAGGCTGAAAGGAGACATGGAAAAGACCAGATTGAGGTAAAATACAGCAATTTTGCCATGGGTTCTGTTAGACACAACATTAAGTTCAGTTATAAAATGGCAACAGCAGCAATATGAATAAATGTTCAATACAAGATTAATAATAGCATTCAACTTTTCTTCCACCAAGTAATATAGTTTATTATCCGAACTGTGGGCTCTGTACAATTGGTGAGCAAGCATATTAGTTTTTTAGTACTGAAGTGCAGCGACAGGTTTGTTTATCAGCTGTTTTACAATTCCTTTGAACATGCAGTCTGTCCTTTTAGCGATTGATTCTAACCTAACCACAATTAAAAATATTAAAAAAAAAATTGAAGGCTCATAATCTGTATTTATGCGTATGTGAGTGCTGTTGTGAATATCCTGCTGTATACGTGCATGTATGTTATAGTGGGCCCTCGCACACCTGCATGGCTCCAAAGCCTAAAGCATTCGGAAAGGGGTGTGCCTCGGGTTTGATTGACAGGAGTGCAGGAGGGCTGACTGATGCTTGTAGAGGTTGATGAGAGATGATCAAAAACGCAGCATCCCATTGGCCCTCACAGCTGTGAGCAGCGTGTGTCAGCTCGCCAGAGCGCTCGCTCTTAAGCATGTTCAACATTTATGATTTCAGCACCCCAAAAATGTTTAGAGCAGCAACACAGACACAAACCATAACAGTAGCAGCACTTGTTACCAAGTGCTTGTCTAAAATGACGAGCTCAAGTGGTTGATGATGCAGGAAATGGTGTTGTTGTTGGTGCATCATAGTTTTTGTGTTGTCTGGTTTAACAGGTGTACCATGCCTTCTACAAGCCCCTGGAGTTCACCGTGGCTGAGAGAGATTCCACTCAGTGCTATATCAAGGTATATTTTTTATATATATATATATATATATATATGTATGTATGTGTGTGTGTGTGTGTGTGTGTGCATACTGTAGGTGAGGTGGTGACATAAAAAAGGGAACTGACACAAAATCAAACTTCAAATTAAAAACAACCACCCTATCAACAACATACTGTAGCAACAAACTAATAACCACTCAGCAAACAAATAGCAACACCCTGGCAACTATCCTCAACAGCCCAGTATCATGGTGCTGACTTTTGCATGGACAAACACCAGTTGTAGTTTTGTCTAATATTTAAACACAGTTGAATTTATACATATTCATTTTTCGATGGTCTGAAGTTTGCAACTTAGTCACTACCTTGGGTCTCTCTTTGATTCTGATGTAGGCTTTACACTACTATTCAAAGACATTTTTACATTTTTGAAAGAAACTGATGCTTCTGTTCACTAAAATAGCATGAGTTGATCAAAGTACAGTAAAAATAGTAATACTGTAAAATATTGTTACTGTATGAAATAACTCCTTTTCGATAAAATTAGATTTTTACCTCTGATTTTTACTTGTGAATTCCCATTTTCAGAAGCCATTACTCCAGTCTACAAAGAAAATCATTCTAATATGCTGTTTTAGTTCTTGAGAAACCTTTCTCATTATTAACACACCTGAAAATGGTTGCATTGCATAATGAAGTCTGGAAATTGCAATACAGATGACTTTTTGCAGTTGCTTGTATTGATTACAGTCACAGATTTATATACAGAAAATATTTATAACATTTATGAATGGCATTACTATCATTTTTAATGAATTCTATGCATCCAAGATGAGTAAAATAATAAAGTTCTTCTAAAAAATATAATTGAATGGTAACTGAATGTTCTCTCCCTCTCAGGTGGTTTGTCTACGGGAGGGTGATCAGCGTGTGCTGGGTATGCATTTTACCGGACCGAGCGCTGGTGAGGTCACACAGGGCTTTTCTCTGGGCTTCCAGTAAGTTCCGCATGTCTTCGTACCTGCTCATGCTGTTGAACTGGAATCAGATTACATTAATTTGTTCTGATATCACCCAGGTGTCTGTTTCATTGCACATGCATTTGCGTGTAAATTCAAATCTGTGAATAACAACAGCTGTGGACGAATGAATACAGAGTCTGTGTGTTTTTATCTACAGGTGTGGGCTTACCTATGAACACCTCAGGAATACGGTCGGGATACACCCCACCTGCGCCGAGGAGCTCATCAAGCTCAACATCACTAAACGCTCCGGTCTTGACGCCACAGTAACAGGCTGCTGAGGTTAAGCATCCCCTCCCTGATCGCCCGAGCACACGGGAACCCATAAAAAGGTTGTGATAATGTGAGTTAGCAGTTGCAGGAAGCATCTCATGAAATCTGTCTCTCAGTTTTTACTTTAAAAGCTCTTCTGAAACCGAGACTTTTAAACCACAGAACCAGATCTATTTCGGTTTAATATATGATATTTAAAATAATAATTCTGGAGGTCAGTACTAACAAGTATGTCCTTCTTTGCCACTGTGATGTATTGTTTTTAAACCAAGTCCAGGAGAGTTCGGCCAGCTTTATACCACAGGTCAAGATAATCCAATAAAGTCCTCATGTTTGCTCTCCAGAATAAGAACGTAGATGCAGGTTAGAGCAACACGAACCGCAAGCGCCTCTGCGAACAGATAAACACGGCCATAAATCAGGATTAAGGCCCCATTACAGTGTGCTGAAATGAGAAACGTTGGAGAAAGTGGCCTAATGTTTCTGAAATATATTCTGCAAATATTGTTGTTTCTCTGGCTGTACTTCCTGGCCGTTAGTCATGCGCCGCTCCTGACACTGATGGATGGGATAGGCCCGTCGCTGCGCTGACACCACCCCGTTTCCCAGGGACGTAGACAAACACTCGGTGAGCGGCATGTCACTCAAACGCAGAACCCGGTCGTGGACAGAGTGAGCGCTTATTTAGTCCTGGACTTCAGGAGGTTCTCCAGTGCACAGGGGGAGCAGAGAGTACACAGTACAATAACATACTCTCCTGCCCCTGATCTCTCTGGGTAAAACCTGAAAGTCCAAAGGAGGCATCAGTACCGCTGGCTACCTAAAGGTGGCAGTGTTAGCTTCCTTTTCCTCCTGTTCTTCACTCGCACATGTGAGGATAAAAATCTCTGCGCTGTGTAGTCATTATGAATTCGAGTCACAGTTAATCACTGGCAGAATGTTAAGATTAATCGAACACTTACTGGGCATTTATCGCTCCATAGGTTTAGCTTATCTGTTGTTTGTGTACTTGGCTAATAGCTTTGGCCCACGGTGCTGGCGCCCGCTTTGAGGGAAGTTAAACTGCGACTATTCCCAAAAGTTCAATTCATTTTGTGACAGGAAATCTGTGACATCTGTGTACTTTCAAACCAGATAACGTATGAAAAGCATATGTGAATTTTGAAATACATTGATATGTAAAGTCAGTAGATGCAAGTGCAATTATAATGAAACATTTTTCAGAGCTCTCAAAGGGGTAGTTCAACCAATAATGAAGATTATTTTATTATTTACTCATTCTTATGTCAGTCCAATCCTGTATATCTTTGTTTATTCATCAGAAAACTGAAGGCATTTTGAATTGTATTGGTTGCTCTTTTGTCCATTTAATTAGAATAGAGACTGCTTAAAAAGCATGACGAAGCATCATAAAATTGAATGAAATTTGGAATGAAATTTAGTGGTTTTTGACTGCAAATATTCCATCTTAGCTCTCTTTGCTGCGTTCATGAGAAGAGAAAAGTTGCGGTGCCCAGTTCTTAAACGAATCATTGAGTCTTATTGAGTCAATAATTCAGTTCATCAGCAAAACAAGTCTGCATGTTTCTTTCACAAATTGGACTGATCTGTTTTTTTTTTTTTAAGTTCAAAATCAATAACCAATAAGTGAATAACAGCTTAAAGTTCTCTGTTCCTCACAAAAAGCAATCATATGACTTCAAAAGACTTGGAATACAGCGCATGAGTCGTGTGAGCTACATTTATGATTCTGTAATGGTTATTTTATATCCTATTTTTACAGCTTGAATGTTTCAGTCCAGTTCACCGTAGCATGGAAAAGAGCAACCAGAATAATTGTTTCATGCAAGCCTTTACACGGAAGAAATACAGGTTTAGAAGAACATGAGGGTGAGTAAATAATGGCAGAATTTTCATTTTTGGACAAAATATGGGTTTAATAATAAATTTGGACATTTAATGGTTTAATAATAAACATTGGACATTTGCGTTTGTAATTTCAGTGTCAATGAAACTTGCAATAAAACAACAGATATGCTAAACTTATTAAACACCTCAATCAGTACTAGTCACTGTAGTTATACATGATGTATGTGAAATGAATATGTGATCACATTTAGAAACACTGTTTTAATGGCCTATGTCACATACTTAAAGGGATAGTTCACCCAAAAAATGCAAATTCTGTCATCATGTACTCACCCCGATGTCATTCCAAACCTGTATGAGTTTCTTTTGTCTGCTGAACACAAAAGAAGATATTTTAAAGAATGTTAGTAACCAAACCGTTTTGGTTTGGAGACATTTCTCAAAATATTTTCTTTTATGTTCTGTGAAAGAAAGTCATTCGTACAGGTTTGAAACAACATGAGGGTGAGTAAATGATGGCAGAATTTTCACTTTTGGATGAACTATCCCTTTAACTTTTACTAAGCTATTTATCTGTAATTAATCAAATGCCTTTATGCGTATGGTTTCCCACAAATACTTTAATTTAAAGTATAAATACAAAATTTAAATTGGAGAATGCCATAGACTTAGAAGTGAGTGTCTGTGGTGGAAGAACGGTCCTGCTGGAGTTTGTTTTTGTTTGAAGTCTAATCTGCCCCGGCTCTGATTAATGAGCCTGAGAGTGGAGTGATAGCCTGCCGTGGAGAGGAGCACTGCGCTACCAGGTTTATTTGTACCCAGGGCTGATGGGAAGAGGGGGGGTACCGTGTGCTCAGCTCAGGGACGGGGTGCTGACTGAAGAACCCTGACCCCAACACACTACCACCAACAGCTTGGCTCTATCAACCCACACAACACACACACACACACAGCTGGTGGGCAGAGCTGCACCATAACACAGAAATATGCGGGCGTATGTTTTTCTAAAGTGTACAGATATTCATGTTATGGCCAGCATAATTGTCATGTTACCAGTATGATCAGTATAATGACATTTTTTTTTTTAATGTTAAATTTAAATGTTGCATCTAAAATTGACATAAGCAGTTATCAGCATTGGTCGTCTCACTGATCAAATGTGCTTTAGACACATTACCCGCAGGTCAGCTTGAGACAGCAGCTCCGATCCCCACATTCGCACACAGTGAGGGGGCAGGGTTCAACTTTCAAGGGCCCAGCTAATGATGACTTGCACTAAAAGCCAAAACTGGAGAGGGCGAGTCTGATGATACTTGGCGTCATATTTATTTCTGTAAAAAGAGAAGCCTGATTTGGCATTAAGCCATGCACTTGATGATTTAGTAAGTTAGATATACAAATTGCACCATTAAAATAATGATGGATTAAATGCTGTCTTCTGTTTCTTTCATATGGTGTGAATTTAACTTGTTCCAAATCTTCGTGAGCTGCCTCACAGACTGCTATCTCCATAGGCAGCAACCTTTTTAGGGGCCTTTCATGCAGAACGCATTCTCGCATTTCATCTACAGTTTTTTTTTTTTATGATGGTGCATGTACCACTTACATTGCACATGTTTCAGCCATTGTGTCATGTCTTTTTCTTTCTTTTTGTTGCATTTTTTGCATTTTTAAGAGATTTCCATTTTTTCCATTCGGTTGTACTCCCGGCTGTTTTTCAACATGTTCTGTGTGGCTATTAATGCAAAATGATACACAGGGCAGTCGAATGACTAAAGGAATGCCAGGTTTTTAAAAAGTTTAACTTTTAGCTTGAGCGCCACGTTTTTACATTGCAAAACACTGCAAAAGATGCAAGACATGATTACATGATTTACAGGATACATGTTTACATAGAAAAACATTGGAAAAACAAAAGTGCAGTGGAATGCAGAAACAGCCCCAAAGGCGGCATCCTAACTGTCATGGATTCTTATAAGTGACTGATTTGGAGCACTCTATATAGGCAGCAACTTCAAGTGCGAACTAAATTATGAGAGCAAAACCTCCTCACGTGAAGGGCATTAAAGACTAAAGTTACGATTAATTTCAATATAATATGACCTTGATATATCAACACAATAAGACAAAGATAAAAATGCATAACACACAAATATTAGATACAAAAAAATTTACATTTTGAAATGAATTCAAATGTTTTTATGACTATTTTCATCATTGAATAAAATGTTTATTTATTTATCTTTTGAGCATTTTTCTCTGCTTGACTTTCGACTCCATATGGAACTTGTTGCAATGCATTCTGGGATTGCATCTAATTTGGTCAAAATGAGATCTTAGCGTAATGTTGCAAACTAACTTTGTGAGTGTAGTTCACCTATGCTGCCTTAAAATGCTATTAAGTTAGGAAGCTAACTAGGTTTTGTAACAGAGCTAATACACTACTTTTCAAAGGTTTGGTGTCAGTTTTTTTTTTTTTTTTTAAAGAAATTAATACTTTTATTCAGCAAAGATGCATTGAATTGATCCAAAGTGACAGTAAAACATTAATAATGTTACAAAAGATTTCTATCTCAATAAATGCTGTTCTTCTGAACTTTCTATTGAACAAAGAATCATATGAAACATTTTTTTCACAAAAATATTAAGCAGCATAACTGTTTTCAACATTGATATAGCATATATGATTTCTGAATATAGCAGAATGATTTCTGAAGGATCATGTGACACTGAAGACTGGAGTAACGATGCTGAAAATTCAGCTTTGCATCACAGGAATAAATTACATTATCAAATATATTCAAATAGAAGACAGTTATTTAAAACCGTAATAATATTTCACAATATTACCGTTTTTCAGTATTTTAATCAAATAAATGTAGCCTTGTTGAGAATAAGAGACTTCTTTCAAAAAATCTTGCTGACCCCAAACTTTTAAACAGTGTGTGTGTGCGTGTGCGTGTGTGTGTGTGTGTGTGTGTGTGTGTGTGTCCTCTGAGCAGCTTTCTCTCAGCAGGGGTGGTCACGGTATGACCTCTCGCTGTCTTTGCTGACAGGCTCCTCAGCGATGCCGACCTGTCAGTCAAAGCTGCACAACAACAATGGCAGAAATTCCTCTCTGTTTGTTTGCATAAGGACGGGGCTCTCACAAACCCTGAAACTTTTAACGTTGTCACCCCTAAAACTCCGAGCTCTCTTTGCAGCCATTAAGGCGAAAGTCATCCTCGTCGTCCACTGAGAGAAAAGACCAGAGCCCCCTTTTTAACCAGCGACATGCTTTCAGCATTTCTTTCTCTTTCGAAATAGAGCAAATGTACGTAAATCCACCTTGAAACACACTTAGCAGAACATGTCAACATGTCAGGGTATGTTGGGTGGATATTTAACGTCTTAATCCGCTGCTATTGTGGGTTGACAGTCAGAATCAGCGTGTATGAGCTCGGAGTCTATTGTGGATGCGAGTCAGACGGCCCTCATCACCCTTCTGCGGGGGGTTTACGCTCATGCTGGTTACACAGCCCTGCGTTTGTGGCCAAAGCCCTGGGAGGAGAAACAAATATCTGCCTTGTGTAAACATATGCGAAACGTTTGGCATAGAAAAGGGGGATTATGGGTAAAATGAATAGGGGCCAATTATAGTCCACTTTTTCTTGTGTGTTTCGGATAGAGACACTTTTGTGGTGAGGGGGGTGTAATGGATATAAAATAGCTTCAAAACGGTGTACTATCATACTTTTCTATTTGTTTATTCAGTACTGCATAATATACTTCATGTACACTACCATACCATTTTTTTTTTAAGTCTTATGACCAAGTCTTTATTTATTTGATCAAAATAAAGTCAAATGTGAAATATTATACTGTTTATAATAACTGTTTTTTTTTATTTTAATATATTTTTAAAAGTAATTTATTTCTGTGAGCCATTACTCCATTCTTTAGTGTCACATGATCCTTTAGAAATCATTCTAATATAATGATTTGGTGCTATGATGTATTATTTTTAATATTTCCTATTTTTGTTGAAAAGACCAATGCATAATTAAATACATACTGATAAAAAAAATGTAAATACATATTAATAAAAAAATTATGAATAAAACAAAAATCTGACCTCAAACATTTAAATGGTAGTGTATATTGTCTGAAGTTAGCTATTTTAATTTATTTTAAAACGTTTTTTTTATTATTTTATTTAATGTTAAATTATATTTAAATGTATTTATGTATTTATTTTCAATATGCACCAGAGAATACTGTGCTGAATAAGGTTTTTGACAATGTAATGACTTTATTGGAGTAGATATTATTTTTATATAAAATAAAAAATAATACAAAACAGAAAAACATTTAAATAACAATTTTAAATAACTTATTTTCAACATGAGAAATTATTAAAGCCAAATATTTAAAATTTCCAGTTGCATATGCAGACTGTATTACATGTTGTAAAAAAAAAAATATATATATATATATATATATATATAGCCTATATTCTGCACTGAAAAAAAAATTTGGTGTAGAAACAGTTTTCACTCAGAAATCGCTAGTAAATGCCACAAACAATTACAAAGAAATGGCACGGAACACTGAATTCATGTGAAATCATTTTCTTGTATTTTCTTGTAAATGTGCTCCAATATTTTTTATATATTTATATTTTTTTATAATATTTTTTTATTTTATATATATTTTAAAAATCAAATCATTGTACAGTGTGTGTGGTACACTGCTATAGCATTGTAAACAGTCCCACACACAGTCAAACATGAAGAGTTTGATGTAAGATGCTTCAGGGTGAGGTTCGAGGGAAGACTCTCCTCTCTGATTACAGGCCAGATGTGTGCCACAGATTTATGTTTGCTGCATGTCCACAGTTTGATCGTCGTCTTTGTTCAGCAGTTTTTCTCCATTATGTAGTTGCATGAAGAGCATGTTTCTACCTGATTTATATTTTGTCTTCATTTCAAGGATCGTCCCTGGTGAAGTTTGAACCCCACAACCTTTTGGTAACCAGCCAGATGTTTACCCACTAAGCCACACTAACAAGCCCAGCTCATTTGTGTGCTTTATTT